TCCTCGGAAGGATTTTTTTCACCTGAATTCAGAGGTGATTTTGGAGCGGGGTTAATGGATCTTCATGCAATGGATGATACAGAGCTTCTATCCGAGGTACGTTTGGAAGAAGAACTAGTTCAGAGATTATTCATAGTTAGGATCATTACTTCATTAGTGTTCAAATGGAATAGAAAAAACAAAACATGTTGTTCATTGTCTGTTCTTGAGTTACAACCTGGTTGTTAATGGTGTGCACGCGATTTATCTGCGAGACTTCTGTTAGACAGGACACTCAAAAGGATTTAACGAGAGATGGCAGTTTTAGTCTTGATTTCATTAGAAAAGGCTACGTATGAAAAAGTCGATTGCATTTGCAAATTCTTAAAGAAAAGATTATCAATGTGAAAGTTGTCAACTTTTGTAACATGTCATTTTCCTTTCATTTTGTAGCATGTGATCACCGAACCCTTTGAGCCGTCGCCTTTCATGCCTAGTGTGAATAAAGAATTTGAAGAAGATTTTAATTTGCCCGCTAATCGTCAACAACGGCTACAAACAGATGCTGAACCGTTGGGCTCATTGCCTAAGAGTGAAAAAGAAAATACCAATGTAGCCAAGATTAAAGTAGTGGTAAGGCATTCATTTGAGCAGTAACTGTTCCTTAACTACGTGATTGTTTTTAAGCAACGGACATTATGACTAGGGCTCACTGGGACCGTTGTTTGTTGTCTTCACTCTCTAGGTAAGGAAAAGACCCCTAAATAAGAAAGAAATAGCTAGAAAGGAGGATGATGTCGTGACCGTGTCTGATAATTCTTTGACTGTCCATGAGCCCAAACTGAAGGTTTGTGTGTAGTCCTCATTGAAGATAACAATGTCGTCCATGATTCAGTTAAACAACTGAACGATGCCATTTGACATTTGAGAGAATCATAATCTTGTTGGTGCAGGTGGATTTGACAGCTTATGTGGAAAATCATGAGTTCTGCTTTGATGCTGTTCTAGATGAGGATGTTTCAAATGATGAGGTAATTGAATAGTTCAAACGTATTGGAGTCATAGCAAATTCTAGCAGGAGTGCATGATGCGACCTTGAGCTGTGACAGATTTATGAATGGATGCATTAAGCTTTGTAGATTTTTAAAAGCTTTACTCTGCTTTGCTGTTCTTTGTTGTTTCCCTGAACAGGTGTATCGGGCCACGATTGAGCCGATAATTCCCATTATTTTCCAAAGAACAAAAGCTACATGTTTTGCATATGGTCAAACAGGTATGCAATGGAAGTAATGTCCATTCGAAAATATTAGATGATAACATTTCTTCTTGATTTCATGGCCCTGATGATGTTTTGCTTTATTCAGGTAGTGGTAAGACATACACAATGAAACCATTACCCATACGAGCTGTTGAAGATCTAATGAGGTTGTTGCGTCAACCAGTATATAGCAATCAGAGGTTTAAATTGTGGCTCAGCTATTTTGAGATATATGGTGGAAAGCTGTTTGATCTTCTCAGTGAGAGAAAGTTAGTGTTCTTTCTCTTTCTCATTTCTTCTTCAAGTCATAATTTTAGATGTCCACAATTGCAAATGCAAGTTTCAAGTTGCCTAAATCATTCAGCTATTGTCGAATAGGAAACTTTGCATGCGAGAAGATGGTAGACAACAAGTTTGCATTGTTGGCCTGCAAGAGTATGAAGTTTCAGATGTTCAAATTGTAAAGGACTTCATCGAGAAAGGAAATGCTGAAAGGAGCACTGGGTCTACTGGAGCAAATGAGGAATCTTCTAGATCACATGCTATCTTACAGCTTGTTGTAAAGAAGCATGTTGAGGTAAAAGAAACTAGACGCAAAATCAATGATGTCAAGGAATTGCCTGGGAAAGTTGTTGGGAAGATTTCTTTCATTGACCTTGCTGGCAGTGAAAGAGGCGCAGACACCACAGACAATGACCGCCAAACAAGGTAAGGATGATCTTTACCCCTGTGGTTGAGTATTGATTAATTTCTATTATTCTTTTTGGACTTGTGGGTTTGATGGGGTGGCACTATGTTACTTTAGGACCACCACTCTCTTGATCTAAAGTTTAATGTTATCTTGCTTAGGATTGAAGGAGCGGAGATCAATAAGAGTCTCTTGGCTCTTAAGGAATGCATACGTGCACTGGACAATGACCAGCTACATATACCATTCCGTGGAAGCAAACTAACTGAAGTGCTCCGTGACTCATTCGTTGGAAACTCAAGAACGGTGATGATCTCTTGCATCTCTCCGAGTGTAGGATCGTGTGAACATACCCTCAATACACTACGATATGCTGATCGGTATGTTTTGTACAAACTCTAAACTAATTCTCAGTTCCAGCCCTTCTTAACCTGTTTGTTATTTTACGGAATAAACAGGGTCAAAAGTCTATCGAAAAGTGGGAACAACAGCAAGAAAGATCAAACTACCAATTCAATGCCTCCGGTTAACAGAGATACTTTGCTGAGCACAAACGATGTAGAAGATATCTTTGAGCCTCCACAGGAAGTGAATGTACAAGAAACAGGGAGGAGGATGGAGAAGGAAAGCTACACTACTTCGAGTAGTGACTTCAGACAACCTACAAGTTATCGCGAGGAAAGTGGAATCCCATCAATCTCAATGGACAAGGGGAGATCAGAGACGAACAACAATTCTTTTGGTGGCTCCGCTAGTCAGAGGAACCAATTGTCTTCATATCCGCAAGAGACTTCAGACCGTGAAGAGAAAGTGAAGAAAGTGTCACCACCTCGTGGGAAAGGGCTGCGGGAAGAAAAACCAGACAGACCACAAAACTTGTCTAAAAAGGAAGTCAGGTCATCGGAGATCCCTACCTTGACAAGCTTTAGACAGAACAACACAAGCGAAGCTGCTTCAAGGCAGTATGAAACTGATACTTCGCTTGATGACAACATTGACGCACTGCTGGAGGTAAGAACATTCACTTAAACATCTATAACAAGAGTTTAACCTGTGAAAGCTAATACTAACAGTTATGATAACCACCGGTTCAGGAGGAAGAAGCTCTGATAGCAGCACACAGAAAAGAAATCGAGGATACAATGGAGATCGTTCGCGAGGTAAGTAAATATAACTAAATGACTATGCGACTGTATATTATTATCGTTTTTGTTAATTTATTTTACATATTTTGATCAGGAAATGAAGCTTCTAGCGGAGGTGGACCAACCAGGAAGCATGATAGAAAACTATGTAACGCAACTGAGTTTTGTCTTGTCTCGGAAAGCAGCGGGGCTTGTGAGTCTCCAAGCTAGGCTAGCTCGGTTCCAACACCGTCTCAAGGAACAAGAAATTCTGAGCCGTAAGAGAGTTCCTCCTCGGTAGTTGGTAGAAGAAAGGGAAACTAAAGAACGACATGTGTGTGTGGGAGTTGTCAGTCAAAGTGTGAAAGTTGCTTCGAACGCAATGAAGAAAGAAGAGAGTGAAATTTTAGTTACCGTTATCAACAACAAAAAAATGGTGATCTCTTCTTGAATCGTGTTTGTGAATTTGGGAATTTATTTCATTTTATTTTTTAAATCTATTATAAAATTATACCTTTTGTGTTTCTTATTTTTTTCTCTCCTTTAAAAGATGGGTACAACAATAGTATGTTTTTCTTTTGTATATCAGTAAAAAAACTATAAAATATTAATTATTTTTTGGTAAAAAAGTAATATAAATATTAATAAAAAAAATTAGATTTTTGTGACAAACCATTAGCTAAGGAGAAGTTTTTAGGATAGATCTAAATTTTTTTTTGTCACAAATATATATCACAAAAATAAAATAATCAAAATATACTTAAATATTTTATCAAAAATAAATAAATATACATTTATACGGTTAATTAATTTTAAACATTTTTATTTAAAACTGAGGAAATGAAATTTTGGGATAAAATTTCAAATTTTTTTTATTAAAACAAAGCTTAAAAATTTTAAAATAATTTTTTTGTAATTTTAATGTTTGAGGTCTATTTTTGTGGCAAAATTTTAAAAATGTTTTGAAAGAATAGAACTTGCCTAAAATTCAAATATAAACCCAAAAAAAAAAATATAAACCCAAAAGTAGTGAAATGTAATTGAACCATGAAATTCCACAAACCGAATATAACCGGAGAGAACCAAGAAATTGGTTGAAAGTTAGTTGTTTTTCCAACGCTTCAATGGGAAGTCGCCGATGCACCTGAAACTTCAAATCTATCCCTCCGATGTTTCTAAGCCTTCTCGACTCATGCATCCGATCACAGAATCTAACCCTAGGTCAAATCATTCACCAGCACCTTCTCAAACGCTCCCTCACACTAACATCCTCCACCATACTCGTCAAACTAACGCGTCTCTACGCTTCATGCAACGAAGTGAAACTTGCACGCCACGTGTTCGACGAAATTCCCCACCCAAGAACGAATCCCATCCCCTGGGACGTGATGATCAGAGCCTACGCATCTAACGATTACCCTGAAAAAGCTTTGGATTTGTATTACGAGATGCTGAGTTATGGCGTTAGACCCACGAAGTATACTTACCCTTTTGCCCTGAAGGCGTGTAGTGGTCTGCGAGCGGTTGAAGATGGTAAGATGATACATACCCATGTGAAAGGTAGTGGCTTTACTGATGATTTGTATGTGTGTACTGCGCTCGTTGATTTTTATGCTAAATGTGGGGAACTCGATATGGCAATCCAGGTGTTCGATGAAATGCCTGAGAGAGATGTTGTTGCTTGGAACGCTGTGATTTCTGGGTTTTCTTTGTATTGCGGTTTAGCTGATGTTGTTGCGTTGTTGAAGGATATGCGTAGGAGAGATGGGCTGAGGGCTAATTTATCCACCATTGTTGGGATGTTTCCTGCATTAGGAAGGTCTGGTGGTGCTTTGAGGGAAGTGAAATCAGTTCNGAAATGCCTGAGAGAGATGTTGTTGCTTGGAACGCTGTGATTTCTGGGTTTTCTTTGTATTGCGGTTTAGCTGATGTTGTTGCGTTGTTGAAGGATATGCGTAGGAGAGATGGGCTGAGGGCTAATTTATCCACCATTGTTGGGATGTTTCCTGCATTAGGAAGGTCTGGTGGTGCTTTGAGGGAAGTGAAATCAGTTCATGGGTACTGCATAAGAATGGGGTTTAGTGATGATGTTGTTTTCAAGACGGGGATTTTGGATGTATATTCGAAAAGCAAGTGTATTGTCTATGCGAGGAGAGTTTTTGATTCGGAGTGTTTAAAGAATGAGGTAACATGGAGTGCTATGATTGGAGGCTACATAGAAAATGAGATGATGAGGGAAGCTGGTGAATTGTTTCTGCGGATGTTGGATAATGGAGATGTGGCAGTTGTGACGCCGGTGGCCATTGGGCTTATTCTGATGGGTTGTGCGAGGTTTGGAGATCTGAATGGAGGAAAATGTGTACATTGTTACGCGGTTAAAGCAGGCTTCATCTCAGACCTGACCGTTGGAAACACCCTAATTTCGTTTTATGCCAAGTATGGTAGCTTATCTGATGCTTTTAGGCAGTTTAGTGAGATTTGTATGAAAGATATTGTTTCATATAACTCTCTTATCTCTGGCTGTGTGGAGAACTTTCGCGCGGAAGAGAGTTTGCGTCTGTTTCATGATATGAAATGTTCTGGAATTCGTCCTGGTATAACAACGTTAGTTGGTGTTTTGACCGCTTGCTCTCACTTGGCTGCTTTGAGACACGGTTTCAGTTGCCACGGGTATTGTGTTGTTCACGGCTATGCTGTTAATACAACCATTTGTAACACATTAATGGATATGTACACAAAGTGCGGGAAACTTGATGTCGCCAAGAGAGTTTTTGACACGATGCATAAGCGGGATACAGTTTCATGGAACACAATGATGTTTGGATATGGAAATCATGGCCTTGGCAAAGAAGCTCTTTCTCTGTTCGACAGGATGCAGGAGACAGGTGTGAACTCAGACGAGGTGACTCTTCTTGCTCTTTTGTCTGCTTGTAGCCATTCAGGACTTGTGGATGAAGGGAGACAAGTGTTCAACTCTCTGACACGAGGAGGTTTCAACGTCACTCCAAGGATAGACCATTATAACTGCATGGCTGATCTCCTAGCTCGTGCCGGATACCTAGATGAAGCTTATGATCTTGTCAACAAGATGCCGTTTGAGCCTGACGTTAATATGTTGGGTACACTTCTCTCTGCTTGTTTGACGTACAAGAGTGTGGAGCTTGGGGATAAAGTGTCGAAAAAGATGCACAGTCTTGGAGGAACAACAGGAAGCTTTGTTCTTCTATCCAACGCCTATTCAGCTGTTGAAAGATGGGAAGATGCAGAGAAACTTAGAACGACACAGAAGAAAACAGGGTTTCACAAGACCCCGGGTTATAGCTGGGTCGATGTTTAGCTGATAGATTGGTTTGAGTATTCGTGGAAGTCAGACGTTGTCGCAGTTTAGCTGAAGGAGACATTGTTTCAACAATGATTAAGGCGTAAGTGGTTAACTCGATGTTGCATGTTTTATCCCCTCTAGAGAACTATCTAATGTATGGTCGTAACAGGTGCAGGTGATGCTGATATCACTTAAAGCTGGAATCCTCAGATTGAATATGGCAGCTGCATGTCTTGTGATTCTAATGCTTCTTTGGTGGAATCCGAAGAGTGAAGATCAAGCTATTGATAGTCGTCGTATTGGACAAACTCGGGACGGGTACTGTAGCTAATATTGCTGTGAACGATATCGTTATCTGATTTTGGCTCTTCAGGTATTTTAAAACCTTATCTGGAACCTTTGCCTTGTAGTAACATTACTCCACTCGATTGAGATTTTTTTTGTTCTTGTAACTTCTGTCAGGAAAAGAAAAGAAAAATGGTTGCATCTGCATGATTGAAGTGGAGATTATGTAGAACATACTGGAGATTTGACAGAGTGTTCGCTCTCCGAGATTTATGTAATATTTCACACGGTTAAATTTTTCTGTAATACAAATGGTTAAGTATCACGACATTATTAGTTTGACAAAAGAAGACAGAAATCACATCTAAAATGTGAAGAAAAGATCCGGAGAAGTTTTTCTGGTGCACTAGCAATAGTTTAGTGGCTGAGAGTAGAGTATTAGATGAAGCTCAAATAATTAAGAACGTTTAAACACATGTTGTAAAAGCTTGTTCTAGTCTAAACGCCAAAAGGAGATGGTGTTTTGCCTGGAACCACCGATACAGAACAAAGTCCTAGATCTTTTCAGCTATTTCAAGTTTCTCTCAGTTATCATCCGTACGCTGAATTCAACACATTTTCCAAAGAATTACGACTCCAGTTACCAACGAACGTCTTAGAGGTTACAAAAAGCTTCAAGCTATTCTAAGAGCTATTTTGCTTACGAAGGTATTCATCTGCTCCTACTATTCGTATGTATATTCCTTTATGTAGTTTCGGCTAATTAAATCTTTGTATGTAAATTCCTTATCTACCTCCATTGTTTTTTTGATAAGTTGCGATAAGTGATGCAGGGGAAGATGTGATGATTCAATGGTTGGATAGAAATAGCATGACGATGTGAGTGTGACTGTGATGGTTACTCTCGTCTCGGTACAGATCAACGCACCTCAAAGGCTTAGTGTAAACAAAGTATATTTCACAACTGAGTAAAATAAAATATATAGTTAGCAAAAATGAATGAATGTTTAGTAATCTCAACATTTCCTTTAAGATAACTCATTCAACATAACCGGTTCAATTGTACCAAACCGATATCAAATTTGTTTTGTGTACCTAACCAAGATCAATTTAATTTTAGTTTTCTAAGAACTCATTGTTTCAACCTCTAATATAGTTAAATCGCACTTGTGAGCAATTTTCTTGACTCATTATATTTGATAGCTGAATTGTGCCTTTGGCACGTGGATAAATGTGACTTTCTAATTTCTTCTTTACTGAACTAAGGGAATCATATTATTTTTGCCCAACTTTTATAGTTCAAGATCTAAATTATTTTTATGAAACTGTAGTGAAAGGTTTTTCGCCATCTCTCTTTATTTATTTATTTATTTTCATTATGTTTATGTCTTTTTCTTTGTAATTCATGTGTAGGACCTAATGTTTAGTTTGATCATGGTTAGGTTATAGTAGCATGATTTGAATGTTTGATGATATAATTTATGTTGCATTTTTTTAGATATTTCATGTATAATTTATTATGCTAGTTTTTAATTTGATAATTCATACTCTATATCATAAGGACTTTAAGCTCTCAATGGTGTTTGAGGAAATGATCATGAATTCAAATTTTGTGAGATTATCCTTTTTAACCAATAAAAATTATATTTGTTTGAATAGTAAACTTAAATAAATTATTTATTAATGCATATTTTTGTTATGTAACTAGGATCTGTAAATTTTCAAGTGGGGATTTCTTGTTCTTTGCCAGTAATAAGGCAACAAGTCAAGTCTTTTATATTGTAGCTCTTTCAAGTAGGAAATGTTTAAAATTGTTCCCACATGACAAAACGTCGCCATCCACAAAGTGTAAGCAAGCAACACAAATTACTTACTTTCATCAGACGCCGATTGACTAATGCATAGATCTTTATTAGCTTCTCTCAGAGCTTCTCCATTAAACTTATCCTAAAATGTCAAATTACCAATATTTATCACTTTGATTTTTTTAAAAAAATCAATCTTTCCTTTTGTAAAAAAAATTATAGAAAAAACAATCTTTATCAAGTTACCTGAGATGTGTCAATCGAGAAGTGGTGAAGAGGATTGAATGGAAACAAAGGGGTACATGTGGGTTTGGCCATAAGTAGACCAAATAAGATATTTCACTTCCTGAAACTCTCAATGATGCATTTTGCTTGAAAATAAAGGAACTTTGTGAGCGGAAGTGAGCAGAGAGATATATGGGAATAAAAGAGGATTATATGTGTTACAAATTTTTTTATGCTTTGGATACTCAAAGGGATAAACAATCCTTTTTTGATGAGGTTCTTTTATGCAACAAAGAGTTAATCGATTTTAGGTACTTGATTTCTAAGAAGAAACATATGAACCTTTCTTGATTAAACTATTAAGAGACAGAAAAGTGCATGAGTGAAATGTCACCTTAAATGTTATATCATCACTTGTTAGTTTTTAGAATTACTTTGTTATCACATCTTTTAACCTTCGTCAGTTTTATTCAGGTAAAACTACATATCAAGGTGCCAAAACACTACTACTACATATTTGGAGAGTTTGTATTTGTGCCTTTCACCATGCATACATTGAAGATAATGTGATTTATTTCGGTTGTGATTCCTCCTAAATGAAACAAAATCGATGGCAAAAGAATTAGAGACATAAGAAAAGTTGATTATGCTTTCTCAAGTATATTATTTTGTTTCTTAGAGCTCTAAATGATTTTTTATTTAACACTTGTTATGTTATCCTCTATTGATTCAGATTTTGATATTCGAAAAGTTCCATCATGTGAGATAATTTGTTTCTTGTTGTAGTTGTTGAGAAATGACAATCAAGACTTCAAATGCTTGGAAGATTTGCTGGAAACTATCCTATCTAATACATATATATTGAGTCTTTATCAGAACATTTTTAGTGCATTATGAAACTATGTGTTGGGAATATGTACCTAAGTTAAATACATGAATTTCCCAGAGCTGAGAAATTTTTGAATGATCAAATTAAAATCCAGCAGAAAATATGTATAAATGAAATATCTAACATAAATCAGTATCATCAAACATTTAAATCATCCTACTATAGCCTAGTCATCATCAAACTAAATACCAGGTCCCAAACATCATGAATTTCAAATAAAAAGACATATACATAATGAAAATAAATAAATAAGAGCTCTGACGAAGAATCATTCACTAGAATAACAAAAAAAAAACTAAAAATCAATTCAAAATCATCAAGATAATAGTTTAGTTGTTCTTCATATTTTTCTTACTTTACTATTGCATATCTCTTTACGTTTACTTCATGGTCTTTACAATGCACTTCAATCATTCCAACCTCTGTGGTCATGCATTTTCTGTCATCTAGCTTTGAAGAGAATGATCAACACTCCGGATTTTGGTGGTTGGGATTACAAGCACTTGGTTTCTATGAAGAGGCCATATGAAAATATTGTGATTAAATTGTTGAGAGATGGAGAGGTGGTTGAGTGCAACGTCACATTAAAACCGGTACGTAATCACTTGTTATGTTTTAAAAGTTGTTGATTTACTTTGTCATCTCATTTTGTTAATTTCTATCAATTGTGTGCAGCGAAAACCACACATCAAGGTGCAAAAACAGTACATCCCTCCAAGTTACTACATATTTAGAGGGTTTGTGTTTGTACCTTTCACTCACTCATACATTGTCGATGTTGACATTCCTACGGAACACTATGATCATTTCCTATACAAACAGAAGACATTGGAGAACAGCTGGTCATGATCTCTGGGGTATGTTATAGTGCTTCTTAGTGGTCTAAATGATTTTTTTTATGTTTGACACTTTTTCAGCTATCCTATTTTGATTCAAGTTTTGATATTCCAAAAGTTCCATCATGATGTTTCTTGATGTAGGTATTGAGAGATGATTATCATGACGTCAACCAAGATTTTAGACGCTTGGAAAATTTAATGGTAATTATTTAATTTAGTACATGTTTTTGAGTCTTTAATGAATGGTGCTTTGAGAAATTATTTGCTAGGAACAGGTACGTAAGGTAAATGGAGTTGAAGTGAAGAACCTTCAGCATCTCATTGACCTAGTAGAGGGATGTTGTAGTGAGCATTTGAAGCTGGATTTACAGGATAGGAAGAGGTTGTTCTTCATTATAAATCTGCCAAGGAAGCAACCGTTGGGATCTTGAAGCGTTACAAGATTTTCTTCTCCAAATCTGAGAATCTCAGAGGCTGACTAGTTTGGGTTTCTAGATCTATAAGTTTCTAAAGTTACGAGTCTGATTTCAAAATAACATAAGTTTGGTGTATTTTTATCGGCTCAATACTATTTGTTTTGCTACAACTTATATCTCTGATAATTACTTCCTTGCAATGAATGTTTGTTGAGCTTTGATTGGAGTTTGGTTCAAATGTGAATTCAAGAGATCTTTGTTAACGGTTCTGTCACTCCCTCTCTCTCTCTGTGATCTGAGTTTTGGTTAAGAACCTCTCTTGTCGTTTTACTCTTTTGATATGTGACCATTTGGAAACGAAATGCAACATAGCAGAGTTGGTATTGTATCTGCTCCAAATGAACAAACATGGATGATCAGTATAGTCAGAAGTGATGTTCACTTGGCTGACATGGACGGCTTTAAGCTCCTTGAACATGTATCTCTTGAGATTCGATGATATCATCATAGATTTTGGTCTCAGGGTTTCCTTATCATTTGCTAATACGTTGTAGGAGAAACTGAACGATGCGCTCAAGGGAAGTCTCCGAGTTCTTTATCCTGATGATTGAACAAGGAATAGCAGATAGCCTGATGAGTAATTTGGATCTTGTTAGTTGAGACAAAATGCAGGAAGAGACAACAAATGATCCTTATGGAGAGATTGAGATGCTAGCTGTTGTTGTTCTACATTGCCTTGAAGAGGCTAGGATTAAGCCTGATGCAACTGAGATTGTGTGCACCTCACTGTTGGGAGTATACTTTAAGTTAGGTATGCTTGAGAAAGCTTGTGTTCTTCTCGAGGAGATGAAGATGAAACAAACTGGTGCTACTTTTTATATTTTTTCGCAACTGATACATGAATTTCTCAGAGTTGGGAACTTAGGAGAAGTACTTAGTTTGTATGAGAACATTCTAAGAGATTGGTTGAGGTGTCCTGATCTTGTCTTCTTACACAAGTTGATCAACACTTTGAGCAGAATAGGTAGAGTTGATGTGTTAACAAAGGTCTTCCGAGTGTGGAAATACACAGATGCGTACGATGCTTTGATTAGTACTCTGTTTGAGTCCAATGCACCTGATTCAGAAGTGATGTATTTGTTTGATGAGATGAAGGCAGACGGTAATGTTTCCCCTACTAAATACACTTACACAGTCCTCATAGATGGCTATTGCAAAAGAAATAGAGTGGACAAGGCTTTGTTGTTTGTTGAGGAGATGGATGAGGAAGGTCTCTCACCTTTTCCTCCAGTGTATTGCAGCTTCTTAAACACTCTTGGAAACGCAAATGAGCTATCTAAGGAGGATAAAGAGAATCTCGGAAATGTCATGATCAAACATTTTGGGAAGCATGAAAATCTCAAGGAAGATGTCAATGCGCTTATGTCAGGAATGGTGAAGGCTGGTATGATGAATGAAGCTAGTTTGTTGCTTAGAAAGATGGAAGAAAATGGGTGCATCCTGGATGTAAATTCACATAATATCATCCTCAGTGGCTTTGGTAGAGAAGGTGTCCCAAAGCTGGCTATTGATATGTTTGACGCTATGAAGCAATCTGGGATTAAGCCTGATGGTATCAGTTACAGTACTCTTCTTGGATGTTTCCTACATGCTGGAATGTTTAAGGAGGCTGCAAGAGTGACTAGCGAGATGAAAAATGAAGGCTTTGCCATCACTGACTCATCAATACTTGAAGCTGATGGCAATCTGGATCAAAATCTTTTGGTAGGTTTGCTGTGTTTTTTTACCATCTTCTTGAGTTAGCTATAGCTTTTATAGTATAAAAAATGTATATACTGAATGGGTGCTAAACATGTGTGTTTTACAACAAACCAGGTTCCAGACAATGTCGGACTGCTCCATCACAAAGAATATCCTTTCTCTATTAGTCTTATAGAGGTTCTATTAGGATTATACCTTTTTGATCATATCTGAGAGTGAATGGTTCTTTTTTGTAATGTCCTTGACTTTGGTAATGGGTTCACTAGATGACATGGGAGGCAGGATCAATGAGCATGAGCTAAAAACTGAGATTGGTATACAAGGCACAGACGATGAACCTAAGACACCCTCTGGTTCCTCCTAAGATGGTAGTTCATGCTCAAGTTACCATCAAGCTTGGCTTAGTTATGTTGTGTTGTTCTGTATAATATTATTTAGTTTTAGTTTTAACTACGATGATGACTTTTCGGTGTAATAAAGTCTATTAATAATTCAGAAGAAATTTGGAAAAAAAAAACTTGGAAGAATTTATTTTGTAAACTTTGAGGATTGCTCATTGTCCGGTCATAAAGATGATATGACGTCAAACATGTTTACTAGTGAAATAATGTTTTAGATATATTTAAACTTAAGAAAATGTGCTCCTTGTTCTGTCTCTAGGTTTCTCTCGTGTCTACAAAATCAATTTTTACAAGTAATGGTGGAAGCACCGAGTGTGGAGACAATTTCTCCAAACAGAATCTCCTTTGGAAGAGAAATCTCATCAAGTGATGAGTTTGAGATAAACATTACAAGGAAAAACGTTTATCTTGCACCTAATAAACGTAACTTCCAATACTATTACTTTAATATTTCCACTGAAATGTATTATCTAGATAATCATGTCAAGGTTTAAACATGAGGATATCTCCAACCTGTTATTATAGTTTTACCGGCTCTCAAAACATACTCAAGCTGTGATTTACCGTCTACAAGGCCCATAGATGGACCAAGATAACGACAATGAAACTTTAGTGTAGACTGCAAACTAATAGTTACTGCATACAATAATTCGTTGATTTAGACAATTATATATATCGTTTTAAAATTTTAGATTATTTTTTCTTGGTGAAATTCCGAGAAGAGCATCACTGGCACCACTATTTTCTTCTCTTTTTTCACTTTCTCCTTTACTGATATGACATTCATTTCACGAGTTGTGTTTTTGTTCCTTCACTCCTGAGTCGGCTGCTTTTAATTGGATGCTTTGTAATCTTAAATCACAGCCGTCGCTTATCTCGTCTCTATTCACTTATACGGTTGTGATTAAAGGCCAAAAACTTAAAACCTTATCGTACGAACTAACAAATCTTGTGCAAGTGCAACATGTGTCCACTGACTACTTTGTCTGCGCGGATCTAGTTTCCTCTTCTGAATTATTATACTATTTTCTGTACTTTCACTTTTAACCATTGATAATGAAATAAAGACAGTGCTGTTGAGTTAAACATGGACCATGACTAGCAACACACAACACTCTCCGTCACTAATTACAATTCCTTACTTGACCGGAACTCTTCACTCTCGAATTTTCTTCATTTTGCTTCTCTGTTATATCGCTGTCACACGTGGGAGAGACATGTACATGCATTCCGTTTTCCCTCACCAAATAAATAAGCTTTAGCGTAGAAGTATGCTCATAATTTACGTACCAGTATTCTTTTAAAGTCTTATTTGTGTTGTCTTTTTAGAAATATGTCAATTTGGTGAATTGTGTTATCTTTTTACAAATATGTCAATTTGGATTATTTGTTAATAAAATAACTAAGGATTAGGAAACAAACAGTTGACTATTTACTTGTTTGGGGAATCAGATTAAACACACACGTACGCATTGGTTTTAACTTTTCACAGAATTACTGATTAGCTACCTAACAACCTGAAAATTTGTTTGCTTTACTGTGTCTCATGTTAAATAAATATATCACTGAGACGTCATGCATACTCGTATGTACTCTCCTTCACTAAATTAACCATGCACCATGACCATGGTCCATGACTAGCGACACACACACTAAGTTACCAAACTTGCCCTTCCTTGCTTGACCGGAACTCTTTCACTCTCGAATTTTCTTTGTTTGGTTTCTCTTTAATGTCGCTGTCACACGCGGGGGAGACATGTACATTCCGTTTCCCTTCACCGAAGAAAAAAAAGCTTTTAGCCTTAAAGTATCAAGTATGCTCATAATTACGCACCAGTATTATTTTAAGTGTTTTTATGTTATCTTTTTTTAATATGTCAATTTGTGAGAGGGGTGGATAAAGAAACCAAAGCCAAAAAACCAAATTGATTTGATCCTAAAAAGTAATTCCGAACTGAATTTGACATAATATCCAAATAAATTTTATTTTATGGTATTTTGGATTTTGTGTTTCGATGGAACCGAGCTCAAATCCGAGCGGATGTTTTAAGAAATCCAAAAAAATCAAAGTAAATATTTATAACATGAATAATTAACTTAAACACTCAATTTTAATGTATATTTTTGTTATTTGCTCATATACTGATTTTTATGTTTTGAAAATTGTATTTGAAATTTGATTATGAATAAGTCTTCTTATAAATAATGTTTTTGTAGGATTGTAAAGTGCTAATTTTAATTTGTTTATGTTCCAAGTATGAACTAAATTGTATAGATTCGAATAAAAAAGAGTATTTGAATAACAAAAAGCTGAATTAGAACTGAATCCAAATTTAAACGGATATGCAACCGAATTTTCAATGTCTTACTATCTTTGAACCAAACCCAGAATCTTCAAACTGAATCGAACCGAAGATTAAAAATATACGAGTCTAGGTAAATTTCATGAATTCAAGTAACAAAATCCGATTGAATTGGACATTTGATCGCTCATGCTTACGGTGAGTTGTGATGTTGTTTAGAAGTCGTAAGAAAAACAATTAAGGACTAGGAAACAAACAGTTGACTATTTTCTTGTTTGGGGAAGCAGATTAAACATGCCATCGCAATCCACACGTACGCATTCGTTGTAACTTTTGATAAAATTGTTGAATAGCTACCTAACAAATTGACATTAATTAGTTTGCCTTATTGTGTGTCAAGATATATAAATAAAGAATCATCTATATATCACTGAGACGTCATGCAGATTCATATGTACTCACATTTATTGAATTCTCCAAGTTAATCTTCCCATGCAGTTCATTTATTATCTGGTGAAATTATGTATATTTTGTAGATAGTTGCATACGAATATTAAAGTTTCATATTATCATGTGTCGACCCATATAAAATGTGTCTAAAGCATAGGGATATGTGACTCATGGACAGTGGATAAGAGAATGGTCCTTAACCCTTTAAAACACCATATTTTATGGGATCTTCCTTTATTGTTAAATCATATTTTAATAATGTTTTTATATTATGCTCAAGTTGTTTATAGGATTTATACATTTAAGTATATTCTTTAATTTGTATTTTTGTCAACTGTTCTTCAATTTGTAATACTGCAACTTGTTAGAAACTGAAAAGCACCCTTTGCTTCTTTCACTAGACAAACCCTTAATTAGCGATATTTGTGGCAGAAAAAAAGATAAGGTTACGTGTGTTTCACTCCACAAAACTCCTAAAATTTATTTACTGTTTTTACATGTCAAGTAAAGTTACTGTTTTCTCTATGTGGAATATGTAATCTTTTCATGGTTTTTCAACTTGCTCTTTTGGGGTTTAGGAGTTACTCCTTTCAGAATCTTTAGAGAGAGAGAGAGAACAAACTGAAAAAAGGGGAAACCTGTGCAGTGTGCGTGAGAGAGAACGCACCAAAGCGTGCAAGAGAAAGTAAAAGAAGCCAAATCAAAAGCTTTCATTTGTATAAAATCCCACCACTTGTCTTAACCATACCTTCATTACATCTCTCTCCCTTTCTCTATCTCTCTCTCTCTCGCTCTCAGTTTTGTGAAACTGTTTCCTTTTTAGGGCTTTCTCAGATTTTTCCCATTAAAGGTCTCTTAGGGTTTGGTGAATCTCTGTTCTACGTCTCCCCTTGTAAAGAAGCTTTACTACGTTTTTTTGAAAACATATCTTTTAACTTCTTGAAGCAAAAAAAAAAAATCAATGGAGGGTTGTCAAAGAAATAAAGAAACCTCTCCTAAACTCCTGGATTTGATTCCTCAAGGAAGACAATGGTACCATGAAGAAGAAAACAACAACACAGATCAAGAAAAGAAACTTGAGCTAAGGCTTGGACCACCCGGTGGTTATGAAGAGAATCGTTCAGAGACGAAGAAGAACACAGAGACAAGAAACAACAGCATCAAGAAGGAAGCAGAAGACAAATCTATCTTCTGTCTAAGTGAAAAACATTCATCTCCTTCCAACAAAACCAGTTATGTTCCTCACATCTCTCACAAAAGGTATCTCACTGTTACTTTTTCTCACCTTGACAGAGCATATGCTCTAGACATCAGGGACCCATCTTCTGAATAGCCTTATTTTTGCTCTGTTTTGCCCTGTTTTACTCTGTTTTGCTCTGTTTTTGCCCTGTTTTACTCTGTTTTGCTCTGTTTTTTTGTTTGGTGTTAACATATTTCGTTTTTTACTGTATTGTTTAAAGAACTGCTCCTGGTCCAGTGGTGGGTTGGCCTCCGGTACGTTCCTTCAGAAAGAATCTAGCGAGCACAAGCTCTTCAAAGCTTGGAAACGAATCCTCCCACATAGATCAAAGTACCAAGAATGGTGATGGTGTGAAGGAAGTGGAACCTAAGAGAGAAGGAATGTTTGTAAAGATCAACATGGATAGTGTTCCAATTGGTAGAAAAATCGATCTCAATGCTTACAATAGCTACGACCAGCTCTCTTTTGCCGTTGACAAACTCTTCAGAGGTCTACTCGCAGGTTAACTCTTCATTTCAAATCTTTTCTGGTTATTATAGAAAGATTCTTGTTATATTGAGAGTGTTTTGTTTATGTTGTTGTTTTAAGCTCAAAGAGATACCTCTGGTAGTGAAGGAGAAGAGAAACCAATCATTGGTTTACTGGATGGTAAAGGAGAATTTACTTTGACTTATGAAGACAATGAAGGGGACAAGATGCTTGTTGGGGATGTTCCTTGGCAGTAAGAATCTTTTTTACCTTTCTTCTCTGAATTTGATTCAGTATTTGGCAGAATCTGATTCTTCAATCATATAACAACAAAAAAAGCATAAAGTATCTCTTTCTGTTAATGGTTTTGAAATTGGTTGTCATTTACGTAAAGAATGGATATTTAACTAATCTTGATATGTGTTCTAAATACAGAATGTTTGTTTCATCTGTGAAGAGATTGCGTGTGATTAAAAGCTCTGAGATTTCATCTGCTTTGAGATGTAAGCTTTTATGTTGGTTTTATGTTAAGACGATTTATAGAGACATAACTAGAAAAGGTTTCATCTGTGTTTGCAGTTGGGTGCAGTAAGCAGGAGAAGATGAGGAACTGAAGAATGTGTTTTAAACTTCTGCTTGAGCTAGAGGGTCTCACAGTTTTTATTTTTGTATATCTAGTTTTTTTATATAAGAGATAAAAGTATTGGTTGTGTCCAGAGAGACATTTTCATATGATCTCATATATATATATAGATTCCCTTGTCTCTAAAACACTCAGCTATGTGACTACAGAAGTGTAAAAGCATTAAATTTAGAACATGATATAATCCTCTCATGTCTTCAAAACTCTTTCAGAAAAACATGAAAATGTCCTTCTCCGTATGAGCTCCTTTAATCATGTAAAAAGATGAGAATGAAAGGCCATTATTGATTAAAAAAAAAAACATAATGAGCCTGTAAATAAGATTAGAAGTTGAAAATACAAAAAGTTTGTTTCTGAATGATCAGTCCATATCGATAGTTCTGGTGGGCTACCATCTCTTTTGTCATAGTGCAGAACTTAGCAGCTTTGTTTGTTCTCACTTATTATATTCACTGCATGTAACACATTTTGCATTATCTATTACCTTTTGTACCGTTTCTCGGTCGACCGACTGAAACATCACAAAGAAAAACTGTATCATTTTTTTAACACACTGTTTTCAAGTTTAAACAAAAAAATCGGTCGACGTAGAATCATCTCAAATAAATAAAGCTATCCAAAAAACATTTCGTGGCTATGTGTTTAATCATATACAGCTGGTTACTTGGGGATGTTACAGTTATATAACACAATGATAAAGTTTTGTTTGGAAAGTTTTCAAATATTTTAATCAGTTAAACAACGTTATTATATACCATTTACTCTATTTTACATCAGTGTGATTTTTCGCATCATTTACTCGATTTTCATTGTTAGAGCACCATTATCCCACAACTCTATTATGGGGGTGCTTAGTCATATTATAATAGTATTTAAGGTGTTTTTTTGTTAAGCAACTTAGTTAAGCAATTTTTTAATTTTTCCCTTCCATTGCAAGTATCTTATTTAGAGGTGCTTAAATTTTTTTTTTTTAAAGTTTGGAAGAAAAATGTATGATCATGTATTATAAATTTGGAAGAAGAATGTTTGATCATGTATTACAAGTTTCTATATACACTTTCCTTACAAACACCATGTGTCTGTGACACAACGACAAAGCAGTAAAAGACAAGTGACAATGAAG